AAAAAAAAAGCTATTGGAAATAATGTATTTCAAGTAAGTTTATACAAGAAATGCTTTTTAAGATTTCCTATCTCCCTATTCTCATCACTTGTTCAAATAGTGATAAAAAAATGGTATCAGGAAAAAAATAATTGTTTTTTTGAGGCATTTTTCTATCACATTTATAGCTATGTGTTATAGGTACCAAGAATTTCAAAATATGATTTGCTTTAGAAATTAATTTGTGAAAACGTAATTTGGCTTATGACTTTGAAAGCATTGAACTTTTTTTTTCTAAGGAAGTAAGTTTTACATGAAAATACAGGCAAATATGAGTGTGAGGAAATATTTCTCCTCATTTCAGGTACAAAAATATGATTTCAAGAGCCCCTTATTCATATTTTGATTCAAGTACACATCCAACCATAGCAGTTCTATGATGGGAGACAAGTTGAAGAGGTACTTTCTAGGTTGATAATAAAAGCCATGATTCTATTGCAATGCTGCAAAAACAATCATTCCTTGTATCTAGTTTCATATATTTATAGCTAATTCCTTGACAACTTGCTTATCAAAAATGTCAGTGTTCTGAATTATTTTAACAAACTTTTATAATGATTTTTATGGGGAAACTGTAAAATAGACCCATTTTGCTGAAGGTGAAAATGTAAGGGGGGGCTCTGTAGACTGGAGAATGATGCTAGAGGTGGGAGAGGAGCCAAATTTGGGGGAGAAACTTGAGTGTCATGCCATTCATACTGTATGAATCTCTTTAGTTCCTGATTTTTAGGTAGTCAATGGTCAGAGTTCAAAGAGCAAGGCAGTCATCTAAAAAAGTTACCCGAACCTGCTGAAATTTAAAGAACAAGAGTATGGGCCGTGAAACACCTCTATTCAGGATTTGAGATTTTTTTTAATTTAACGACTTCTGAAAAGAATAAACTGGTTCCCTTCGGGGTTGAGAGTGATTTAGATTACTTACTCCAAGTCACAGCTAATAAATCCTAATGATTTTGGATAGGCCAAATAATTCCCTGTTTTGGAAAGGGCCCATTCAGACCATCTGCCTTATTGTTGCAAATCAAACAAAACAGTGCTAAATGAAATATTTGGGAAAAAATATACACTATACCAATACATCTTGATAAACAACTTTTTCCTTTATACTCCCTAACGCCCTAAATCTATCCCAAGCTTAAACAATCTACTTTTTAAAACACATATTATTTAATGTAACTTTACAACTGTGGCTATATTTTCTATCATATGCCTTTTCTAATAAAGATGCTTGAAGAAATAAAAGTTGTTCTAGATTCATACAGAAAATAATTACCTGGATGACTATCTGGCCACTTGGCAAATCCCCCTACGAGGCGATCTTGAGTTGATAAGATGTAATTTCTATTTTTCTCAAAGTTAGTGTATTGGAAGATTTTCAGAAGCTGAAATGACATGACAAAAATTTACTGACATACAACTTTCATATTGACTTTTGGCTCAAATTTCAGATAAGTATCATTTAGATATGCTTTTTCCTAGCCAAGGTGCTCAGAGCCAGTCTTTGGGGACTTCAGCACTTACAATAGGTCAACCACATTATCTTTTTTTTATCTCGTCATCAAATCTGGTTTGTTTGTTTGTTCGTTTTGAGACAGGGTTTCACTCTGTTGCCCTGGCTAGAGTGCAGTGGCATCATCATAGCTCACTGTAACCTCAAACTCCTAGGCTCAAGCGATCCTCCTGCCTCAGCCTCCTGAGTAGCTGGGACTACAGGCACGCACCACCATGCCTGGCTTATTTTTCTATTTTTTGTAGAGACAGAGGTCTCACTCTTGCTCAGGCTGGTCCTGAACTCCTGACCTCAAGTGATCATCCCATCTAGGCCTCCCAGGGTACGAGATTACAGGAGTGAGCCACCTGTGCCCAGCCTATCTTCTTATCAAATCTACTCTCCTTTTCTTGACCCATTCACTATTTCTTTCTTCTGAACCAGGCCCATCTAAACTCTCTGCCTCACATTAAGCTAGATTCAAAAGACAATTTCTCCAATCTACTCAGTCATTTCAAAAAAGTGCAATTTTATCTACCCATATTTTAACTCTTACTATAGGCTCTTGAACTATTAGTTACAAACTGGTAACAACTGAAACTAAAAATATTTCAGAAAAGAACAAACAAATTATTAACCAAATGCTAGAGACAGTTTTGTCTGAGAATAGTAAAAAAGTATAGTTCTTTAATCATGAAAGATAAAGGTAAGACAAATATGATTACAACATTAAAAACTCATTTGTCTTTCAAAATTTCATTAAAAAGAAAAAAATTAAAAATAGATAAATAAATCAAACCGTGAAGAGAACAAGGGTGGGTGAGCAGTAGTTAAGAGGGTTCAAGAAATTTCTGAGGGTACAAAGCGGTTTAAAGTGTGTTAATGAATTAAAGACAGCGGGAAGACATTAGTGATTGATGAAGAAGCATTATTTCTCCAAAAAAAAAAGCTAAACCTATAAGAAAGTTATGGTACAAATAAGAAACTTATTTACTTTGATTTAATTAACAGAACATAAGGAAAGAGATGCTTTAGAATCTTGATCCTAGGAACATTTTTCATCAAGTGGCACACAGGTCATTACTTAAAATGAAGAAATTATAATCTTAACACTGTGCTTAATTTAGCAATGAACAATATTGACAATATCATAATAAATGTTGATTACTAGCTTTCAAATTTTAGAAACAATCCATAGGCAAAGCATGAAAGATCTGAGTATTACTGAACAAAATATGAATGTTACCTAATTTGACATTATAAAAGTAAAGGTAAGCTTACAGCATTGGAAGGTGGAAGAGGAGGAGAAAAGATTCAGAACTAAAAATAATATAACAAGTAACAATTTGCTGGAAAAAAGGAGAAGCTAAATCTTAATTTTTCATAGCTGGGAATCAAAGATAATGTCTAAAGGTGCTAAGATAAAAAAAAATCAGTGTATTATTTAAAGTTATGGTAATGCCCACAAGAATTAAAATTAAAAAAAAAAAAGTTTAAAAGTCATTGCCTTCCAAAAGTTGTCAAAGACTACCAAGGTCATATCAAAAAGACTCAAGAGCCAACTTAAAAGGGCTTCTACTGGCTAAAGATGGTACAATTTGAGCATTAAAAATAAAAATTTAATGGACTAAAACATATAAAATGTTAAAATCTATGAGTTCACAATGATTCTCAAAGAAAAAAACCCCCTAAAACCTAACATTTCATTGAAAAACTTGAGGGGATGCTAGGGAACCAACTCATTTTGCTGAACACTATTAAAATTAACAGAAAGAATCAAGTATTTATCTGACCTCAGTACAAACCATACCTCACCATAAGGCAAAATTCTTCTTTATGTAAGAATGCTATCAAATAAATTCAGAAGGAATGACAGAATACCACCATTTTGCAACCCATTAATGACAATTGATTTAGACAATGATAGTTAACGGCTGCTAAAACTATTCCATAAAAAGTTGCTGGGGTTTCTGTATACTAGCAATTAATAATCCAAAAGAAAATTAAGAAAGCAATTCCATTTATAATACTACCTAAAAGAATTAAGTACTTAAGAAATAAATCTTACCAAGGGGGTGAAAAACACATGCTGAAAACTACAAAATATTGCCGAAAGAAATTAAAGATGACCGATAGAATTGGAAACACATCCTGTGCTCATGGATAGGAAGACTTAACACTGTCTAGGTTTCAATAATACCCAAAGTGACTTAATGTAATTCCTATCGAAATTCCAAGAGCCTTTTTTGCAGAAATGGGAAGGTCAATCATCAGATTCATATGAAATTGCAAGGGGCCCCAAATAGCCAAAACAATATTACAAAAGAATAAAGTTGGAGGTCTCACACTTCCTGACTTTGAAACTTAATACAAAGCTGCAGTAATTAAAACAGTATGGTACTAGCACAGGGACAGACATACAGAAGGATGCAATAAAATAGACAGTCTATAAATATACTCTCATATATATGGTCTATTGATTTTTGACAAGGGTGCCAAGACCATTTAATGGGAAAGGACAGTCTTTTCAACAAATGATGCTGGAAAAATTGAATAGCCACATGTCAAAGAATAAAGTTGGCTCTTACCTTACATCACATATAAAAATCAACTCAAAATTGATGAAAGACGTAAATTTAAGGCCTATCGGTATAAAACTATTAGAAGAAAACACTTGATGGCAGGGGATTTGGCAATAATTTTATGGTATGACACCAAAGCACAAGCAATAAAAGAAAAAAAAATAGATAAAACTGGACTGCAACAAAATTAAAAAAACTTGTACATTAAAGGATACTATGAACAGAGTGAAAAGGCAACTCAAGGAATGGGAGAAAATACTGCAAATCATATATCTGATAAGGGATTAATATCCAGAATATATGAAGAACTCTTACAACTCTATAACAAAAAAACAACAAGCCTGATTAGGCAAAGGACTTCAATAGACATTTCTCCCAAGAAGATACACAAATGACCAGTAAGTACATGAAAAGACACTAAATATCACTTATTGTTAGGGAAGTGCAAATAAAAACCACAATGAGATACCACTTCAAACCCATTTGGATGGCTATTAGAAAAAAAAAAACAAACAGAAAAAACAAGTGTTAAGTGAGGATGTAGAGAAACTGGAAACCTCATACATTGCTAGTGGAAACGTAAAATGGTGTAGCTGCTATGGAAAGGTCTGGCAGTTCCTCAAAAAGATAAACAGAATTACCATATGACCCAGCAATTCTACTCCTAGGTATATACAGTACCCTTCCAAAAATGAAAGCAGAGACTTGAACATATATTTGGTACACTCATGTTCATAGCAGCATTATTCACAATAGCAAAAAGATGGAAAAAACTCAAGGGGCCATCAACAGACAAATGTATAAGCAAAACGTGGTTTGTGTGTATGTGTGATTGTATATATCTCGCACACACATACACATGATGAAATATTCAGCCATAAAAGAAATGGAATTTTGATATATGCTACAACATAGATACACCCTGAAAACACTACGCTAAGTGAAATAAGCCAGAAACAGAAGGACAGATATTGTATGATTTCACCTACATGAAGTACCTAAAATAGAAAAATTCACACACAGAATAGAAGAGAGGTTACCAGGGGCTGGAGAGGGAGGACAAAGGGGAGTTATTGTTTAATGGGTACAGGATTTATGTTGGGGATGATGAAAAAGTTTTGCATGGAAGTGATGGATATACAACATTGTGAATGTAATCAATGCCACTGAATTGTACACTTAGAAATGGTTAAACTGATAAATATATTAAGTTACAAATATTCTTCCACAATTTTTAAAAGTCAAAAAAAAAAAAGCTGATGGAAACTTTAAAATGGGAAAAATCAGGTTGACAACTCTGGAGCCCTCTGATCAATAGGAGAGATAGCCAATTATTATGTGCCTGTTATGTGGTGCAACAGGAAATGTACATCATCACTGGATACTTAATGATAATAAGCAATTGTGGATAATTTTTTAGGTGTCATGATACAAAGGTTCTGTTTTTTAAAAAGTTATCTCTCATTAAGAGATTATATTAAAGAATTTCCTGATAGTATAAAAGATGGTATCTGGGATTTGCTTTAAAATAATATAGCGAATGGGAGGGAAGTAGGTAGTAATATGGATGAAGAAAGGCTGGCTTTGGGTTGACAACTGTTGATACCGGTTGATGGACATACAAGAGTTCATTATATCATTCTCCCTACTTTTGAAGATGTTTGAAATTTCCCACACACACAAAAATGGTGCACCTGAGAAATGGCACTGGAAGTAAGTAGAGACAGGGAGACTATTGCCTTCATTTTACATCATTCTTTTCCAAATTGTTTCAACCTCACATATGAATTTTGTTTAAGA